AGCAAATAAGTATTCTCAATCACATATAATTATGGTTTTTAAGCGCTAAATAACACATTAAGTTTAAGAGTCCACACTCACGTTCTCACCCACAGGACGACAGGATTAAGAGTCTTTATGTTATAATCTGAAGATAAAGGAGGATTTTCACTGAATGAGCCTCACTTATTTTTAAATACGAACCAATATGAAGCTCGTACGCCACACTGCTACTGCAGAAATGTTAAGATGACTTGATCTTCCTGGTGAGTACTTGGGGAAGTGAAGCACATGACGATAAGCACAGCTTCTTTCTGGAGGACCCACAACAATTTCACGGATTCTTGAGGCCACTTTACGTAAACTGCAGATGACGATCTTACTGAGTCGTGGCAGAAAGACCTTATTGTGGAGCACAACGGGAGAGACACTGGTCAATTAATTTGGTCCACTGCCTCACTACTGATCATATGAACCATGATATCCTCACAAACCTTACGCCTTCAGTCTGAGTATTAAGACGAGTGGTGGTGTGAAAGGGCAGCTACAGCCTCAGAGAACAAACCTATTAACACACAAATAAAAGAACAGTGGAAGTCTTTGTCCCATGCTCATATTTGCAGTATTACTCCGTCACTTCTAAGTACAAATTTGTCATCTGTGATCAGAGAAACTTAGTGAAGGTTTTTGAAAGTGTTAGTCATATGTTCAAACCTCTAACCCCCACAGAGCATCCGTCTGTCACATTATTTTTAATTCCTCAAATCCCTTTCTCTCTCACCACTGCAGCAATATCACAAAGCTTGATCAGTGTGGTGAGGTGGGGTGCAGAGCGGTTTAGGTTTGCCACTGAGTAACCGATAAGACAGAAAGGACAGAGTTAACTGAATAACTGTTAACTAGAATGGCACCCACTGGTTCCCCCAAATACAAACAACATTATCTGTTCAAATTGATGGTAGGTAGAGGTTTCTATCCCTGCATGTTGTACAGTGTCTTCAACATGGCCATAATACTCTGTGATATGGATCAAACAAACAGGTGCAAAAACCTAACCTCCTTGGCAGAGGTCATAGAAATGCACCAGCAATTAATATATACATTTAAAGTAAAAAAGAATGAAAGAAAAAGGAACTACATGGGGAATAAATAAAGTGTTTAAGGTTATTATAAAAGTGCATTCCTCACACACACACACAGGAAATGAAAACTCAGTCTTACGGACCTGTGTTGCCCCACACAGAGGCTGTACTTGAAGAGGCCGTCCAGCTATCTTAATGACCACTGAAGTATATTTGGAAATCCACTTAAGCATGTTTCATTTCTATTTCTTTTATCTGTCCAAGAGAAAGACGCCATCTGGAATCAATTAGTGGGTTAGTTTCCCCTCACTCGACCTCTACCGTACAATTACACACACCCTGCTGACAGAGAGAGACGTTCCCTGGTATTATGTTAGAAGACACATGGACTTGGTGAGTATTATATAAGCACAGAGAGTGATGCATTTTCTTACTAATGTAGGACAAAAAGAAATGTCAGTCACATATTCATGATAGCAATTTCTCATATATATGGCTGAATATACACCAACCACTATCTGCTTTAATAAGTGCTGGACTACCTCAACCCTATGAGAGTGCTTTCAGGCCATTGTTCAGAAGGATGTTCTTTACCAGAGCATTGTTGAGGGCCAACACCGATGATTTGACTCTAGATGCCCACTGTCGATTCAAGAAGGAGCACTTCCTCAGTGATCACTGTTTTCTTACAGTGGCCCAGACTGGACACAAACTAAACACCTATTGAGTTTTAATCACAGCTGAAGGCTACCACAGGTTCTCTTTCATCAGCTGCAACATGAAACTTCCCTCTTAGATGTCACTAAATTTTACACACTGAACCTTTAACTCATAAAGGGACAAGGCAGAACGTGAAGGAAGGGATCCTCCTGACTGAAGTCCTGCCAAAGATTCATTCACAGAGAAAAACACAGAGCACGACTATGAGCTGAGTACAGATCAAACAGCTAAACAACTATCAAGGGGAGACCCTGAGGAACAACCAGCATGATCAAGCCACGGATCACAACCTCACGTCTGCTCAACACAAGCCCTCGCAGCCAAGTTATCTGTCAAGCAAAACATCCATTAGAGAAGTCCCCCCCCCCCCAATTACAGAGGATTACATATGACAGATTAATCAAAGCTTCTGTCACTTTCATGGGGTTGGGAGCCAGTCAATCATTTTAAAACTGTTATAAGCATCAGGTTTCAAATGTGTCAGCCTGAATTGAACTAAGAGGTTAAATAATATGTTTTGTAATTTAATAAAAGATTTAGTTGGTTATGTTTTATTGTTATGTATTATTATTATTAGAAAATAGCCTTCATAGCAGCCTCTCTTTTCTGGTCTTTGGGAGCATTATTTCCTCATTTCAAATGTAGACGTTTTAAAGCAATACTTCAAACCCTTTCCTCTCTCTCAAATATTGCTCCTATTCAAAACTGTTTGGCTGCACTTAGACCAAGCTCTCAAATAAAGAGCCCCATCCTCATTCCACCATTTCGTTAGTCGTTTCATCTTTTTGGTCCCTTCAAGAGGCTTCTGGGACAGCCTCCTAGCAACGGGAGAAAGAGAGGGGGAGAGTGACATAGAGGGCGTGATGGAGGGGGAGGGCCAAGACTAAAAATAGCTACATTGAGCTCTGAGCAGCATCACACCTCACAGAGACATCACTGTGCTACTGAGGAGAATTCAAGATACTGATAATTATCCATAGGCACACAGAGACACACACACACGCACACACACGCACTCACACAAGCACTCACACATGCACTCACACACACTACGAGGAAAGAAAAAGAAGCGTGCTCATTGGTGGCATATGTCAGTGTTAACTAATTCACAATTGACACCTAGTGATGTGTGAAACATGTGAAGGTGTTTGCATGTAGAGTGTGTGGTGCGTCTGTGTGTCTGTGTACCTGAGAATGGAATGAAAAAGACAGACAATGATGCAATGCAGCCGCAGAGTAAGTAGAGGAGAAATGAAGGATGAAACTCCGACACAAACACACAAACACGGACCACGTCATCCTCCACCATGAAACACAAGATGAAAAGGAGGAGCGTCTGAAAAATGGAAAGAGAAATGTGATGAGTCAGAGTCTGCCTCACAGAGAGAGGGATGATGACCAGGTTGGTGTGTTATGGGTGACATCATTCGTGACATCAGAATTCATATGATTGAAGGGGAATGCATGAAAACAATGAAACACATT